TGTCTTAAAACCACTGAAAAGGTGACCTTTAGCTGACCCATGACTCTCCAAATTGACACCAGAAGGAGCTGCAAACKGGCTTCATTGTGAAATTAATGGATTCCTCTTTTGTGATAGATACAGGGAAACAAACTACAGATTTAAAAAACATCTCTTTGGGAACTACATCCTAATGATATCAGAGTTGAGTAAAYATATGCATAGTTCCAGGAATCTTCTAATGGAGCCTCTGGGCTTTGATTTTTACATCTGCTTTTCTGTGGTTTCGTAGCTCACCTCATCCGCTAGCCATTCAATATATATTTTATATTGCTACAATAGTTTGCACATTTATTTTTTAATGACAAAAGGCTCCCACCCTCTTCACATCTGCATTGGAAGTATTTGAATTGCTGAGGGCCTGCAGTGGTTCGTGAAGGCAGCTCTCCTCTAGAGCAATACAGATTGCCAGGCCTGGAGCACCAAAGGGAAGCAGTGAGACACTGAAGCATTTCCAAATTCAGTCAGTTCCTTGTGGTGGGGGTGAGAGCTAAATCAAAATGAACTGTAAAAAATTACAATTATTTGTTTCAGTAGAGCAAAGATTTCCTGGACAGTTAYGGCAAAAATACCATTAATAAAACACATAATCAGTAACTGAAGGGAGAGCTGGTTCATGCTCCAAGAAACAGATTTAGCAGAAATGATTCATTAAGAAATGTGACTTGTAGTTTAATGAAATATTCRTTATGACCAGTAAAAGGGAAACTCTCACCTTCTCAAAGATCATTTCATTATTTAATATACTGGTCCTTTAGTATATTATCATGTCCATATAGGATTTTTWAAAAATATTTATGGGGAAAAATGGAGTCTGAATGTCAAAGACTTCTAATCCTTATTGTTAAAGGCTTTGAAATTCAGTCAGTTCCATTTCTGTTGCTCAAGACATCTGCAGGAAGTGTGAGCCAAGGTATCCACTTACCAGTGACCGATGACAGCACATGGTAAAGATATTTACATCCCTAAAGTAACACAGAGGTGCAAAAGGAGTTTTCAGACCTACACATCTACCTAATTTCTGAAAGTGGTGCATTCAGGAAATGATCAGCACCTGGTCTGTTACACCATGAGTAAGGGTCCTACTGAAATGAACTGAGGGAACTAATCCAGAAGATTTAGATAAGGGGAGGGGTGTTTGATGTGGACATCAGTGCCACTCTAGGTTAAAACCCAGGAAGAGCCCAAGGCTTCAGAGAGGTGTTTCCCATGGCAAAACGGGAACCAAGACTTGAACCTCATCCCAAACCTCTCTTGAAGCTCAGTTGTGCTACCAACAATCTCCATGGATCCCTCATCTGCAGARATGGCTTTGCAGTGCACCTCGAGGCACATCTGTCCTCCAAAGCACTGCTGAAAACCTTGCAAGTCAAACTGCTCTTTAAAATGTCCTTTTAAGCAAAGTKTGGAAGATACTACTGCAAGGTAAACAGAGAGAGCAATGTGCTTTGTTTAACTTGCTTAGCATTTTAAATGTCTCAATCCTGACATTTCTTTGTAGCATAAARCTCTCCAGATCAGGTTATATATTGTGCATTGTAAAACTCTAGCAGTGAAAACAAACATTCTCTCCAGAGTCATCTGTTTGCAATTTTCCTTGATTACTCTTCCAATAGATTTCAAGCTGTGGATTGAAAGATTTAACATTCACATGGATAGAATTTGTTCCTTTTCTAATAACTTTTAGCTACATTGCTCAGCCTTAAGTCAGCCCGCATTTTACTTTTGTCAAGACAAACGATTTTGTCATCTTAAATCAAATTGTCATAATTGTCCTCAGCAATCTGTCAGAGCAGAGTTATTTCTGTCTGGCTGTTCTGACAGCCAGCTCCTAAAAACAGCATCTGAGTGCRTGTGAACGATGTGGGCTGGTGCCAGCGGGGGATCTGTAGGGGTGACATAAAGGAGAAGGATCTAAAGCTGAACTTGGCTCCCAGGCCTTGCAAGAACTTTTGGACCTGGGGAGAATCAGAAGCAGCAGAATGGTGTGCCCAGGAGCAGGCACAGCAATGAGAGCTGTTGAGTGTGACACACAGGGAATGGGATGAGCTCTGCTTGGGAATGGGAATGGGAATGGGAATGGAATGGGAATGGGAATGGGAATGGGAATGGGAATGGGAATGGGAATGGGAATGGGAATGGAATGGGAATGGAATGGGAATGGGAATGGGAACAGACACCCAGTTTGGGGGGCACAGCCCCTTCCCCTGGCTGCTTTGATCCCTCAGACTCTCTCTGCCAGGCTCTCTGTGCTGTCAGAGGCACAGCCGAGGAGGGGAGGTGCAGGTGGGGATGGAGATGTTGCTCCATGGCCCTGATCCTCTCCTGCTGTTGAGTTCACCTGCAGGGCTTTGCTGTCAGCCCCGAGCTCACTGGAATTCCTTCAGGGAACACAGGGAACCAGACAGGGCTCTCCTGTCCCTCACAGCCCTTTGCATGTGACAGCTCCACTGATACCTCTTCTCTTCTCTCTCTCTTGAGGCTAAAAACTTCAATTCTTCCAAGCCTCCTTTCTTCATTGTTTTCTTTGCTTTTGATCGTTTATTGTTTTTATTGCTATGAACAACAGAAAACTGAACTTTTAGTATTGGGAAATMGAATGAATGCTATGGAACTCTGACAGAAATAGAGCAGATTTGTACATATATGGTTTTACATTGAATTGAGTAAGAACTGGAACTAATTTGTTGTTACAAAATTAAAAGTACAAATGTCCTCAAAATAAAATCTCGGAACAAGAGTGATTCTGAGGACACCTAATTATGCTTATGTTACATGTTGAAAGATGAAAGAGCATTAAATTCTAACTTTAGAATTTTTTTTTTATATAACTTATCAGATTTTAAGGATTGTTTCTTAATTAAAAACATACATTAGTTGTATATTAAAATAATTCTATGTATCATTTTTAAAGAGTTGCACTTCAAATTAGCTTAAYGCCTTCAGTAGAAATTAAGATTAGGTAAACAGAGTCACCGAGGAACATTACTGGTGACATTTTGTATAAACGTGGTAAAGCTGTCTCATGGTTGTTAACTGTTCCCAGATGGAATAATGGTAGTTCAGTTAGAATCCATGACACACAATTTTCAGATATATGCTGTAGTTTTAAAGGTTTATTTGGAAATATCTACAGTTAACTTTTCCCTCTTCTGAGTTTGATACAACATTATTTCTCTTTTTCACTCTTTTGCTGTATTCACAATGGACTGATTTTTACATTCACTGGTACAATGGCACCAGAGTCCCAAAACCAAACCACTTGAAAATGGAATTCATGTAGAAAAAAATTGGGATTTTTTTTCCTAAGGAGAAAACACAACAATAACACCTGTAGCCCATCTCTCAAGGGTTAAATCTACCTCCATGACAAAGAAAGAACCCAGTTTGAATTTATTTTTTTATGAATGTTTAAAATAAAATGAAAGCATGTTGGATTGGGGAAGGTGTGAATTAAGCATTCTTCATAACAAAGCTTGATTCTTTTTTAGAAACCCCAAAACTATACAGCATCTTTTAAAAAAGAATACGGGAAAATAGTATGTAAAGTGGTTTTATACAATAAATAATCTATTTTCTATAAATGTACAAAATCAGTYATACAGCAAGTAAGAAACTGATACAAATGCAATAACTGAAAGATATATTTAATTTTATAACTGTAATAATTTATTTATGAAATATATCCACATATATATAAAATATATCATATGTTTTGGCAAAGACCTCCCTTTCTTGTTTCAAACAAAAACTATTACCACTGGTTTAAGCCCTATATAAACATTTTTACTGTTGCTTTCCTTTCACTTTTCTTTTGGTCTCCATCTTTCTTCTTATAAAATATAATTTAACAGCATGGGGTTATAGTTTAAACCTATGTGCCCTGGGGAAAGTCTGCATGAAGGTCAGTCAACCCCCCCAAAAAATTTGTAATGTCACAAGTAAGGGATTTCCTCTCTTTTTAAATAATATAGAACAGGATTTGCAAAAGTTACTCTTTTTTTCTCTTGCATCCTTGTAGCAAAAAGAAGTCCATAATTTCTGCAGAAATAATTTACATTGAGAAACGTCCAGGGTTGGATTTAATCCTCATTGCCAGGTTTCCAGGTTATTGGGTGGTGGTGTTTCAATGGAGATAAAGCTGGGATTTGCAGCACTGGCAAAGCCCAGTGGATGTGCTGTGKGTGTGACGTGCAGGGGCCTGGGGCAGCAAATGGCCAGCACAGAAATGGCTCTGACTGCATGGAGTTCCACAGTCCTACCCTTGCATCTGTAGGAAAATTCTTTGGGATGAATCACGGAACTTCTGTTCACAGTGCATCCCTAAATAATCRCTCTAAGTGTTTTTGAATGGAACTTCCAAGTGCAGGAATAATTTGTGCCTAAATTAGGTAATCTATTGAATACTCAATGTATACTCTTAACTTGCTATAGTTTATAATAATATTTATATTAGCCATTCATATTTATTCTGCATAGATACTTTCATTTAAACATCTGCCACGAAGTTACAATATGATGATTCAGGCTTGCATACATTAACAAGAGAAATATTTTGTATCTGTTTATTCTTAATGAGAACTCATGGAGAGGCCATCTCCCTCTAACTCTCCATATTCTCCCCTTGCAGTTGCCTGCACAGAGCTGTGGATGAATTCTCCAGACACAGAGCAAGCGGTAAGTGGAACAGTTTCTATTGAACTCGTTTAAATCACAGAGAAAAATGTTTCCTGAAGCTTTGCATTGCTGAAGTTTGGGTCTGCCTTTGTAGTTTTCCTCTAGAGTGATACGTTCCCTGCCAGGTTACATGATAAAGATTATCCTTTTCTGAGGCTCTCACGAGGGGAGAAAAGCTTCTTCATACAGGTTCCAGTGCCCTCGGAGTGGCACTGCTGAAATGAAGTGTTGCCTGCTGCTGAATTCTCCAAATTCTCCACTGGCATCACACTGAAGCATCAAGTTTGTCCATCTCAAGGGAGAGTTGTGGTTTAAGTTCTTTTTGAGCTCCAGCAAAGAAATGGTAAAGCTTTAAAACAAACAAACAAACACAGCTGAACTGTTTAATATTCAGCACTAAATCCCTGTTAGCTGAGATAACTGTGGGTCCCCTCCCTGGTTATGTGTATGGATGTAGAGGATGAACTCACAGTTCTCCAATTAGCTCTGCTCAAAGAATCACAGCAATAAATTCAACTTGGGGACTTCTAATCCAAGTGCTTCCATTCACAGCAAAAAAWGTGGGGTAATGGTGTGACGTTTTTAGAAGTGGCAGTATTTGAGCRTGGCTACTAAACCACAGTAACCTCTTTAAACCTGACATCACAAGCAGATTTACTTTTTCCTTCAGATACTTCTTCCAAAAGGTTTTTCCTGTTTGTTTACCCTAACACTTCAACTTTCACTGCAGCACTGCACTGGGACATTTAGCTTAATTGGTTGAAGTGCTAAACGAGCAAAAACATGATATACAAAGAATGTGTATGGAAAATCAATTCCTTTTTTTTAACATTACTGATCTGTAACATACCTGATTGTTCAGAATCCTCCAGACTCTGTGCTACTGAATGAAATTGTGTTCCTCTTCCCTGCATTGGTCTTTCTCCTCTGTCTTTTTCATTGATCCATGATTTCTGTAGAACAGAGATTTCCTAAGCTTGTCACTGTGTTCTCCTCATTCATGAAATGAYAATTTCATTCTTTGTTAGGCTACATAAAACATTCTAGAACAGTGCCATGTTCAGTGTGCCCCTGACTGGACAGATCTGCTGTTTCAAAAGCACCACATCATAAAAAGAAAAAGCAAAAAAACAMCATTCCAAGCTGTACTGGCTGGCTCTGGCCTCTCTCCTTCACTTATTAAACTCTGATGTGACACAGGAACTTTCTTGCTTTTTTTCTTCCCGTTCTCTCCCCCATCCCACTGAAGGGGAAGTGAACAAGCAGCAGTGTAAGTGCTTGGCTGCWGGCCAGGGTCAGCYCAYCACAACTGCAGAGGGGAATTTGATTTCAAATCAATACATCCTTTCATCACTTCCACTTCATAAATGCAACTTGATTAATTTTTCTCCATAAATGTGGCCTGGTTGCAGCGTTAAGGAAAAACACTCACCTCCTTCTGTCCTGCATTCTTCTGCAAAACTGCAARCACTGCTTGTCATGAGCATCCCAACAGGAACATCGGGGTGAGGGCTGGGAAGGACTTTGAATCTGTCCTGTAGACCTCTTGCCTCTAAAGCTGCCTCTGTAGTTGGACAGTCCATATGGCACAGTCCTCCTGTTGYGAGAATTACATTTATTGGGTATTTTAAGAACCAATTATGTTCCATCTCTATTTTAGTGAAGAGATCTGTTGATGGAAAGCAATAAATAGTGGCACCAAAATCAACCCCTATGATCAGGTAAGAAGTTTGCCCTGTACCAGACTGTAACTTCTGCTCCATCAGCTCAGGCTTTCATCAAGTTATAAAGCAGCAGGCAATCAGAATTTATCAGCAATTACACTATCAAAAAAAAAAACTGGAATACCTAAGAGATGATGCAAATACATCCCCAGGTTATTGATTATTTTACCCCTTATTCTTGGGTTGTTTTGATTTCCCTCCCCGAATGCACAAGATTTGTTAACTCAGCACCATAGCTGGKATGAAGTGACAGAGGAGCTGTGCTGATTTCACCAGATCACTAACATTGTGTAGCTGTCATCTAGTTCATGGTTCCAAGCCTGATTTGCCATTAATTTTATCATCAAGAAATGGAGAAAACTGTCAGCATGATTCATTTACKGCATCATGTCTGTAACACGAGCCCTGGAGTTATAAATGTGGGAAASTGCCAGATCATCTTCCTTGTATGGTTCTGCCTTTCTGTGAGAGATCCTCTTCTGTACTGCAGCACACCAAGAAATAGTAGCAGGTACCTCTCTTTATTTCCCTGAATATTTTGCCCTTTCATGCCCTTTTCATCCCCAAAATGAGCTGGATAGTTTGGAYTGATGTCTTCAATTCCTCTCCTCCAAGTTTTTAAAGAATCTCAACTGACAACATCTGTACTCCCCATGAAACTTCTGGAGACCCATAAAAGTTCCTGAGGACTTGAGGAATGGGTTAAGCAATCCACAATCCACAAAAACTAAAAATCTGAAGAGAATCTCATGTTGAAAAGTGAGAAAAAAGGAGAGGAGGAGTGAAAAAAAAATAAAAAAGGCAGGGAAGAGGAAGTCAGAGTCAATCTAGAAAGGTTACAGAAAGGTTACAGAACAAAGCCTGAATAATGAGTCTGGAACCACTACCTTCACATAGCTCTGCTTCTTTCATTTGCTTTCATAAAAACATCATTAGGCTGCTAATGGGAAAGCTGCAAACTTTCCCTTTTCCCACACACATGGTGGGCTGAAAGGTTCAGAAACATTATTTTCCTAATAGCTGCAATAATTTTTGATGCAACATCAGTAGAGTTGATGCAAATCATTTATTCAAGCCTCTTCACTCAGTACATTTGTAACACTTCACCTTGTCTTTCACAGCCTGAACCTGTCAAAAATCATCCTGAGAGACAGAAAATCATGAGCAGTACTTCTGTCTTCAAAGCCCAAGGGATGATTTTTCTCCAGCAGATCCTGGTCTGCCTCTGTGCAGAAATTGTTCCATATTTTCATCACATGATTCCTATGCCAGGACACTGGGAAAGACCAAAAATATCCATATTTGTCATAAAAAAACTTTAGGACTTGATTTTGGCCTCCCTTCTCAAACTCATTTTAAAAGCTTTCTGTTCTCTTTAGGATTAGGAGGAAGTCCTATTTTATAATTTAAGAGTATTCATAATTCTATGCTGCCAACTGCTTTACGATAATGAATGTGGACTGGCTAATGTAGAGAACTTCTGACATAAATAATTGCTCCATGGTCATATTTTTTACACATTCATGTTTTTTATGAGGAACTTCATAAAAAGAGAGTATTTAGAGACAGGAGCAGGGGGAAGCTCCTTTATTTTTAGCAGTGGCAAATCCTCTATGAAAACTCTCGGATGAAATTCTATTATTCAACTTCCTGCTCAAACTGAGACTGAAATGGAAAGATGAATTGTGTGTGTTTTAGACAAATGTCAGAGCCCTGTTTAATGGCAGATTGTTTGCCAGGACATAAAGAAGCTTCTTGAAGCTTTTGCAGATGCCATCCCACATTGTGCTAATGAGACATCAAATACTGCAATATGGTATTCTCATTGTTTAATGTGGTTCCCCGTTCAAAAGTCCACCCTTCCAAAATATGATTCTGGGCTTTTTTACTGTAATTCTCTAAAGAAAAAGCTCTGTGGGAMTGAGCTGCAGGTTGCCCTGTGTCAGAGGCTCTGCCTGAAGAGCCAGGGAGAAATGAGGGCACGAGTTTTATTCTTAATTGCTGCAATTTGCAAATTAATGGACCAACCAGAATTGTCATCAACTYTCAATTTTACCTTAATCTGTCACTCTGTGAACTACAGTGATTGCAGGAAGGGCCCATTACCAATCTGCTGCCTTTCCTAAGAGASAGTAAATTCCAGCAAACAGGGAGGAGGGGAGAATATAATTATAATTACAAGTGATAAGAGCCATGAATCACAGCCTTAAGCAAAGGAGGAAATTGATATTTTAGATAGTGCTTCTGATCTTTCTAATGAAGTAGTTTATGCTTYATAGCTTAGAAAATTTATTCAGGGCTACTTCATTCTCAGGGGGCCAGAAAYGTGTGCCAATGCAACAACATTTCCAAGTGTTTCAAATTTCAAAGGATTTTAACCAGAATGTCCAGGTGAAGGTTTTGTGTGAGCTATTGTGTAATTCAGCAATCAGAGACAGAAATACAATCATGCTCCCAATAAGCCTGGGTTTGGTTTCTACTCCAAAAATTCAAACCCAAAGCAGATACACTTCAATAACAACCCAAAGTCTTCCCAGCAATAATTGTGTTGAGCTTGATGAATTGAATGCACACAGGGCAGTTTTTGCCCCCTCAGAGCTCAGCTGGAGTAGACCAGAGGCAGAACTGTGGGGATGCTGAACTACCAGTTCCTTACACTGTGTTCCTTGTGGTTAGGACCCACTCCTTGGCCAAAGTACTGGCTAAAAGCCATTCACTGATTTAAACATTTCTCTGCAGCATCCACAGGTTTTTAATTTTTTTTTTTTGTTTGTTTTTTAAGTTTTACATTTCACAAGAAAATYTGAATTCCTGACCTTTAACTCAATATGCAGCATCCCTTCCTTTAGGAGAATAAAACTCTCCTGAAGCAAACTGAAATGAGTTTAAGATGTATTTAAAGCTAAGGTGTACTGTGAGGCCTTCACGCCTTTCTTCTCTCCAAAATGGAGAATAAGCAAACCTAGACATTTCTGAATGAGCCTTTCCAAGGTACTACTTTGAACTGATTGGCAACATCCAAATCTGTGAATTCTGAGGAATTACCCTCTTTTGTGGGGCTCAGTATGAAAACTGCAGCCAACCAGTGAGTGCATCAAAATCTGCATGCTCAGTCTTTAAGCACTTTCTAACACAGAGATGGTCTGACTTCAAGAGAAGAGTTTCCCTTTGATCTTTACTCTGTATGAAAAAAAAAGCTAACACGACTCTCCAGTACTTGCAATTATTCCATGTGTTGTAATTCTGATTAGTCAGTGTAATGGATAAACAACTGAAGATATTTCCATGTATACCAGAGCAGCACAAAACTAATCAAAGCACAGTGTGTTCTTGTCAGATTGGATATCARATGCTGAAATAGCCTGGATAATTTCTGTACTTTGTGTCCATGAAAAGCAATCAGAAAAGCTCTCCCCCTAAAAGCCTGCTAGATGTTGGAGCAAGGTTTTGCAATTAAATTAACAGAAATACGCATTTGTYTGTTGACAAAAGACAAGATGTACCAAATAATTGGTACCAAGTGATTGTTCCACCAAAGAGCCATTCTGAGTGGAAATTTTCCACAGGAGAAAATTTCCTGTTGGAGGACTGATGCCTTCAGGGTGAATTGGGACTGTTGTCCCCCACTCACTGTGAATGCTCACAATTCAGGCAGACAAATCCAATTGGTTWATTTTAATTTTTACAACCTGTGGCTGAGTTTCTCATGCTATGTTATAATTGACCTATGAGCTGCTATTATTTTCTACTTTCCCAGCCACTTAAACCAGTAGATACCTCCAGGGCACTGGAGAGTTTCAGCCAAAACAAAGGGATGAGGGGGTTGCAGCAATCATCTCAGATGCTGTGATTTCAGTGTTCAGCAATATATTCTCTGGCACACATCCAGGCCAGCAAGGCTCCCAACAGTCTCCAGCATTTTCAGACAATCCCAAAATGTCTGAGATCCCTGTAAGGACCACTGGGAACAAAGAACACACAAAGAAAGCACAATATGTCATTCTGCAAGTGAGACAAAATGTCCCCAGAGCAAAGGGTGATGCTTGGGGGAATAGCAGATATTTCTGTGTGGATTTTCATGTAAAGGCACTGCTGTAGCACTCTGTAGTCTTACASATGAGGAGATCATTGGCTGCTCTGGGAGTTGGCTCCAGCTCTTCCTGTAACAGGCATGGCTTTTTAGGAGTTTACAGTGGAGGCACCTCCCATATCAACCCTTCAAGGTGTTTTACTCCAGAGAATGCCTGACTTGTTGGTGTGTTCATCCTGACCATGTTCTCAGAAGCTGCATTTTTTCTGAGTAGCTTTTTGCAGTTATTTTCAAATGAAATTACTTTTATCCCTTACAGCCACACCTTGCTTTCCCACATCAATTTAGCAGTGCTTACTGTTTCTAGATACCTAACAGATCCAAAAAGATGCACCTCCATGACCTTACTATCTTATCACTTAATTAATACTTGCTAATTTGTGAGGATGCAAATTAGTTTTAGTTCATTAGTTGCAGCTAAGTTAGGTAATGAACCAAGGATTGCACAGATCTGTTTCATCATCCAGGTTCACTGACCACGTGAGTTCTTTGATTTTCCTCCCCCTGGGGCTTCATGGTACCCAGGTCAAACACTGTGARGATCTGGGGTTTTTTTATCACTCTCCATCCTCCTCCTGTAGCTGTCAGAGGGATATCATGTGTTTTGTTTCTCAGATATGATCAGAGCAGTACCTGAGTTGTTGAGTGAAAAGCTGGGGTGTATTTCTTGAGRTAAACAATATACAGCAAGCCAGAGGGGTGTCCATTAACACCCCAAATCCCCAGAAAGGCTGGGAAGAGCTCACCTGACCCCGTAAATTGAGCCAGTGTTTCACAGAAACA